CAACTTGCCTCCAGAAGTTGGGAATGCTCCAACACTGGAAGTCTTTAAGAAGATGTTGGATAGCCATTTGTCTGAAACGGGGTAGGGCAGGGCTATCAAACTCCCAGCCTGTGGGCCAGATGTTTCACACACTGGCCATGCCTGGTTTAGGGAGAAAATGTCCCAATACATCACGTGATGCCCACCATGGTGATTTGAGTGTGACACTCCTAATGTGGGGTTTCCTGCCTTAGCAGGGGGTTAGACTTGAAGGCCCCTTCCAACTCTATTATTTTGTTATTCTGTTAATACATCTCTCTTATATGAAATTAAGCTCCTACGTTGCATAAGACATGACTTAATGAACCATGGTATATTAAATATAAACTACAATTGGCTGTTGACACAACAAAAGGAACTATGTTCCATTTATTGCGTTAGTGAACCAGGCCACAGCTGCAAAAATGTCTCCCCAGACTTCCTTCCCATGTAGCAATATGAACCAAAAGCAAGTATAACGCTTATCAATCACATCCAATGTGTGGCAGCCACAGGGAGGCATGCTCTCCCAGTTATAAACCCAAGGTTCTGGCTATTGCGATTAGATTAAACGTTCGTCTTGTGAAAAACAAGTGGAAGGGTGGGTCTATTGCTATGGAGACCTGCATAAGAATTATTCATCACTTGTTTTCTATTTCTATGATGTTGCCACAGCAGCAAGAAAGGGAGATGGGGAAGTCCATTTATTAACATAGCTGGTACTCTGGTAATATTTTGATGGAGACAGGAGACAAAAGACACTGTGGCCCAAACCAAACTGAACACCCTGCTTCATGGCTTAATGTGATAACTTTACAAGCCAATGTATCTATGGAGATTCTCAGTCATCCAGGTCATGGTTGTCCCAAAGATGCTTTTTCAAGAGGCAACTGGATTTTCTGGTTTTTCTTTGAAAACATTTCACTTCTCTGAGCTGAAGAAGCTTCTTGGTTGAGAAGCAAAATGTCTTTAAAGAAAAAACAGACAGTCTAGTTGCCACTTGAAAAAAGCACCTTTGGGACATGCCAATGTGGTTTGTAAACCATAGCTTAAAGATTACAGTTTGTGTAAATCTGGACGTTGTCATTGGGGCACCAATGAGGGAGTTATGAAAAAAACCAATAGTGGCCACGACAATTTAATCTTATGTTGTGGGACTTTGATCACACAACTGCAGCCACTATCTTGACTTCCTTGATCCTTTCTCCATCCTTTTTTTTGTCATCCCTCTTGGTGGAATATTAACTTGTTGGCAGATTCAGCCTTAACGGAACATTTGTGAGTCTATTGATTTCAGGGGCTAAAACTGATATCAATAAAGATGACCTCATTTGCAATTCTATGTCATCTCACAGAGAACAGACTCCAGAAGAAACAGATGTATGATCATGTCAGCCAACCATATACTGGGAGGTTCTCCCTTTGCCTTTTTGTGCATGTTTATGGGTCTTATTAGGTTGGCAACATCTTGCATGAAAAGGAAGCATTAAGCAGAAGTCAGTGTTGGTACAGTATGTCTTACAAGACACACTATGCTGAAGGTGCAGAAATACAATTTCTTAGGGAGAAAGGTTAGCATCTCTCTACTTCCTGATTTGTCATTGTCTTCAATCAATAGTATTACGTATATGAAATACTATTGAGAAGGATTATGCTCTCAAAGGGAATACTGTGCTATTCAGAGAAATATGGTATATTTCTTAAATTTATATAACCATACACCTTACAACAAGTGACTCTGTGCAGAGTAGAACAAAGCTAAAATAGTTAATGCTAAACAATTATTATTAAAACATTAAAAAGCTATCAAAATTAAACTAAAAATATATTAGATGAAGAGATATTAATTGTTGGAATTCATTCCGGGTGTTTGCGTGCAGGGCAGCTTCTGCTGTCTGAAACACACATACACAGGGATGCAAAAACATCACATCAGAAACATCTTTCTGGCCTAACTATGCAGCCTCATGTAACAAGAACTATGTGAGCCAGCTACTCCCACACATGCCCTTTCTCCCGCCTATGCTGTGCTATAAC